AAATTTATAATGGATAGAAACAGCTTATTGGTATCAAGAAAATGTTGGCCTTTAAAGCAGATGTCAAAAATCATGAGTGCTCGATCATGCCAAGAGAGCACGGATTATGCATGAGTATTCCCTAGGCGGTGTGAGTTTGAATAGATTAGAAGATGAAGGTAATGTGATTATGTTATTTGCAAGATCAAAATAGACGATTCGAAATATCTGATGAGAGCACCAAAGTATGCACTATCCAATAAAGAAAACCCTAGTAGTAAGAAAAAGAAGATGCGATATGATGATCATCATCATTAGGCCTCCACAAGTACTCCAATGACTCTAAAGGATCATCATCATGAGTTGCAACTTCCATGGCTGCCGTCTTTATCATTACCCAACAATACATCATTTTCCTTTGATGCAATGCTACTTTAACGTCTTCCTCGGATAATCAGTCTCTCGCAGCATATTATGATGAGAGTGCAAGACTATTTGATCAGCCAATTTCTTTACCAATTATCACTTATTGTTCTAAAATGTCACTTTAAGGAATATTAAATCTGTAAATAAAACATACAACTGACATTGGAGATAAAGGCGTTATGGTCAAATCGTTTGTCACCATAAAAATGTAAATATCCCATGCATATTAATACATTGACGGTATGTTAGAATATTATTTATATAGTATGATTAGTTTTTAGAAATTTTATGGGTAAAAGAAGAAAAAGAAAAGAAATTGGCTTTTATTTTTTGTTTTTTTTTTCTCCGTACAATTTTTTTAAATATTTGATAAATCAAATAAGTCATTTAATAAAATTTTTAATTTAATAAGGAGAGGTCATATATATATATATATATATATATATATATATATATGAGTATATATTTTTTTCCAAGTTAAAAGCAAATTGTATAGGTAATTAGAATTTAAATCCGTGCAATTAGTGTTTTGTTATATATAATATTTATAGAGTTAGATAAATTGTATAGGTAATATTAGTTTCCATTTTAGAAATTATAATCCGTATCCACAAAGGAAAGTATTTTAAAAATTGTAATCCTTGTGCACCAAGGAAATGATTGGGTATGAGAGTCTATAAATGGAATTGAATCCTAAGCCTTCAAGAGCGATCCAAGAGCGTTATTTCATCTGTCAAGAGATTTATGAGTTTTTTTCTGAAAATTTTCAACACAACTCTGACGCTATTTTCGGGAGTTATTGTCTGAAATCTTTCAACACACAACTCTCACGACAACGATTAACCCAGTTGAGAGAGATGTTTATACCACCGCTAGGGTTTCGCTTCACCCTTACAAAGAATGAAATCTTCCATTACCTGAGAAATAAAGTGATGGGAGAGAGCTTGCCCGAGGGTGTAATATTGGACATTGATTTTTACATGAATGCCCTATAGGACATATTCAGAGAAGAAGATCAATGGCAACATATGAGTAGTAAAGAATTCGTTTTCTATTTTTTCACCAAGTTGAAGAAAATTGGCGATAAGAAGAGAGTTATAAGAAGAGCCGGGTGTGAGACTTGGACTGAAAAAACCAAGCTTGAAGAAATTTATAATTAACAGAAACAACTTATTTGTATGAAGAAGATGTTGGCTTTTGAAGTAGATGTTAAGAATGACGAGTGTTCGATCATGCCAAGAGGGCACTAGATCATGCATGAGTATTCCTTAGTCAGTGTGAGTTTGAATGTGTTAGAAGAAGAAGGTGGTGGTGATTATGTTGTTTGCAAGATTAAAAGAGATGATTCTAAATATCTGAGGAGAACACCAAAGTATGCACTTTCCAATAAAGAAACCCTAGTAATAAAAAGAAGAAGAAGTGATATGATGATGATCATCATCATAGCACCTCCACAACTACTACAACGACTCTAAAGGATCATCATTAGTTACAACTTCCATGGCAGTCGTCTTCATCATTACCCAATAATACATCATTTTCATTTGATGCAACTACTACTCCAACATCTTCTTCGGATAATCAGCCTTATTATGATGAGAGTGCAATACTGTTTGATCTGCCCAACATCACAATCAACTTTTGTGGTACAACACAAGGCCTGTAATCGATAGACTTATTTTTTGACAACTTTGATACAACTACTACTACAACGTCTTTCGATATTCAGCCGCTGCTGATCTATTTTAGTGCTGAAAAATAATATATATATATTTTTTGAGTTTTAATTTGGTAAAACCACCCAAATATCATGGAGAGTACAGAAAAACTATTAAGAGTTAGATTTTTAAATTTTGTATGGAATTGTATCTAATGCTAGGCTATATCCATAATTTTTGTACTCTAACTGGTTAGGTCTTTAACGTTTAGTTTTAATATTAAAAGTGTATGTTGGTACATTAATTATTATTTAATATTATTAATTATTAATGCCTTTCATAATTCAGCATAATTGGAATCTTTTGGATCTGTTTGGATTAGTTAGAGGGGTAGTCCGGGATTGACCATATGATGACCTTTGGGTACAGTCCGGGACCTATCTAATTGGGAGTGCAGTACCTTTTTATTATGGCCATTAGGCTTTATGTGCCCTTATTGTGTGGACGTGGTCCGGGATTATCTGGGAAGTAGATGTACAACTTAGGTACACATATGTTTTCGGTAGTCCGAGACTATACGATTCACACCACCTTTTTGGAGGGGAGCTCGGGGCTCATGTGAGATATGTGGGTTTAGTAAAAGTTAAATGATGATTATTGAGTTTATAATTAACTTGAGATATGAATCTTAAATTGATGCACTTATTTAAGTTGCCTTCATGTAAAGGAATACAAAGTACGGTTAGCTTGTTGAACAATGATTATGTTTAATATTTTTTATTAAGCTTATGAGCTCACTCCATTATCACATTTCAGGTACTCGTTGAGTAGGATTGGAGACATATGATGTGGATGGATTTTAGCTCGTTGCGCATTTATTTATTTTAGCAAAAAACTTTCCTTTATTATGATCATTGTTATTTTGTGGAATTGTATATATATGGTCCAGAGGTCATTGGTTTATTTTAAACGATGTTGATTATTATCATGGTTGTACTGGTTTAATAAATTAAATGGAGATTCGCCTCTACTTCTCTATTTATTTATTTTAGATTGTGTATATGTAATGCAAGTCATGCCCAATTTTAATCTGAGACAAGAATTCTTGTATTTAAAATTTTGGAGTGTGACAGAATGGTATCAGAGCCTGACCCAGTCGGAAGTGTGGTTAATGAGAACGTTGGGCCCCAAAGGGGGGTGATTACAGCGACTTTGTTGGTAGGTGTGCTGTGGGCGGGTGCGAGGCACTGGCAGGCTACCACATTGGGCGAGATACGAGTGCACAATTCCACATTGCCAGGATAATGGAAAGGTGAAGTGCTTATATGTGATGGTGTTATCTCCAATTGGTATTGGTGCGGGCTCAGGCTTCAAGTTGACAATAGGGCTGATCACGGATCGGATCGATTCTGTTTTGGATAAAATTCAAACCAATCCGTGGGGACTATCAATCCGAACCAAACCGAACCGTGAAGTAACGGATTGGTTCGGTTCCCACAAATTGGGCTTTTTCAAATAGCCCAATATAATTATATTGTAGTTATGGTCCAGTCTAATATATGATTATATATTACTATTTTAGTTATGGCACTACCCGAACAATAAATCTGTCAAAACAGTATATTGTAAGTTGTAATACATTTAATCTAAAGAAAAACAGTAAGAAAGTGGCATAAATTATCCAAAAGTGAAAATAATATTACCGTAGCAAATATATATGATCCGAATAGAGCAAAACAAAATACTAAAACTGAAATTGTAGTCACATCTACAAAGGAACATAATTTAATTAAATATTTATAACATAACATTTACTATATGGTCAGAGATATACTAATAATATGGTTTCTTACTTTCTAATGGAGATGAGGAACGAAGAGAGAGTCGATAGACAGAGAGTCAGATGGTGGGAGTAGAAAACCTAGGGTTAGATATGCTTATGTAGGGCTAAATTTTAAAAACAAATAATGAATAAAAAAATTAAATAAAAATAATATATTATCGTATACATATAATTATATATATATATATATATTATATATATATATATATTATATAATATAATTCACGGATTGGATCGGATCGGTTCGATTTTTTCAGGATTCAATCCGTTAACCAAACTGCTCATTACGGATTACTAATTTTTAAAACCATCACCTAACCATTAAATCAAAAAACCGAATCGAACCACACGAATCGGATTGGTTCGGATCGGTTTGACGGATTAGCGGATTATTTGAACACTCCTAGTTGACAAATATCATACTATATTACCATGTGATGGAATGGGTCGTTACTATAGCATTCTCAATTCAAATTTTTTTTGCATATCCAACCATGACGTTAATGGGATGCATATAGTTTGGATTAAATTAGTGTAGAAGTATTTTGAAATGAAACCGATTCTAATAGTTTCATAACCAAAATTGGATCGTGAAATTAAAAAAAATAAAATTATGAATGAATCATTTGATTCATTTCAAATTTACAATTACGAGATTCTTTACATTCTTGTGACAATAGAGATGATTAAAGTTAAGGTTGAGTTTAGTCCTAATAATTAGTTAAATAAATGTTGATTATTAATTTATTATGCATAATATATATTTATACAACGTTCAATTTGATTCCATAAGAGTTCAAATTAGAACCAATCAACCAAATCATATTTATAAGCGTTTTCAATATATTTAAGAATTAGGTTAGGCGGTGTTACTTAAGTGATAAAAAGGTCTAAAATGTTCCCCACCCTATTTGAAATCAGATCGGATCAAACCGTGAAGAAAGAGATCAAATTCGGGTTGGATTTACGCTACACTCTCTCACTCTCACTCTCTCTCTCTCTCTATATATCCATTTGGGCGTGCCTCTAATAGTAAAAACAAATTCCAGAGGGCAAAATTGTAAACAGAAAAAAGCACACCCCAGCCCAATGCCTGTCCATAAACACCCCCAAACCCTAGCATCCTTCTTCATTTCTCTACCCAGCCTCCGAGACCTAGAGAGAGAAAGAGGAGAGAAAGAGCAGCCATGACGACTCGCTTCAAGAAGAACCGGAAGAAAAGAGGTCACGTGAGCGCCGGGCACGGCCGCATCGGCAAGCACAGGAAGCATCCCGGCGGCCGTGGTAACGCCGGAGGAATGCACCACCACCGCATCCTCTTCGACAAGTACCATCCTGGCTACTTCGGGAAAGTGGGCATGAGGTACTTCCACAAGCTCCGGAACAAGTTCTACCGTCCCATCGTTAACATCGACAAGCTCTGGTCACTCGTCCCTAACGACATCAAGGACAAGGCCTCTCAGGACAAAGCCCCCATGATCGATGTCACGCAGTTTGGGTACTTCAAGGTGTTGGGCAAGGGCGTTTTGTCCACCTCTCAGCCGATCGTCGTCAAGGCCAAGCTCGTGTCGAAGATCGCCGAGAAGAAGATTAAGGAGGCCGGTGGTGCCGTCATCCTCACCGCTTAGGTTCGTCCCCTTTTCGGGATAATGTTAGATCTGAGCTATTTAAACTTTTGAACTTGTTGACTTAATTTTCTTATAATCTTACTATAGTTTAATTTGGATATTTTCAATTATGCATAATGGTTTTTAATTATTTTCTTTAAGCGTTGATGTTATTATGAGTATTGCTATTTTCAATTTATTTCGGATTTTATCGTGTGGGTTGTGATTGATTATTCAATTTGAGTAGCTTATGTGAGAAACAAAGTAATGATATCGTGTAGAATTTGTTTGTTGTTATATTTGATTCAGTGGCTTTAGTGGACTGATGAGTCTCGGTGTGGCCTAATTTGCTAAATGCTGCATTTAATACTGGATTCACTACTGTCCATTGATCTTATGATGCATGGAATATATTGGAACTAGAATCTAAGTTTTCTAAACCAAAATTGATCTGTCATTGAGTATTAGTTGTTAGTAGAATTCCGAAGTTCTTTAATGAATAGTTTCTTCTAGCATTTTGAACAGTCGTGGCATGTAATTATGCTGACTACTACTAGACTTGATTCTAGTTCGTATTCTAGTTCGTGTAAGCATTTAGGCATTCATTTTTGCGACTAGCTGTCAAACTTGTGACAACATTGAACAAGGTGATAAATACAAAGGAAGTAATCCTAGTTAAGTGTATTGCTAAATTTTCTTCATTGAGAAAAAGTAAGTCCTGTCGCTATTTTGAACTAAATTAACTCTCATTTTTGGGTTCTCATGGAATGATTAGATTGCACTTCAAGGTAAGATTAATGAGATATGACCAAACTAAAGGTTCAATATAAGTTGCAAAACTGAAGTTCTCTGAACTAATGATCAGTGCTAGACTTAATAACGACTTGTGAAATATATAATTCCTTAGAGGAATTTAATGGTCATAAAACCTTTCCTTTTGGATTTTTCTTGAAACTTTGCCTTTGAACTTTGAAGTGGTATGACTTGGTCACACGGAATATGTAGAACATATCAGACTAATGTTTGACGATATGATCAATCTTGATGCATTTTCTCGCATTGATCATAGGGTATTCATGGAGCTTAAATCTTCACTGATAAATACCCTGCATATTTGTGGGGGTTGGAGGGCATGAAAGTAAGGTTAAATGTAGATCCCAATGGGGTTCCAGACTTCCAGTGGTTTGGTGCTTTACATTTGCTACATACTTGGAGACTAGATGAAGGTAAACATAGGCCACTTATTTTTTATCTATTGCAATTACCAATTACAATTAGGGTATGATCTGTTACAGAGATTATTTTCATCCAAGGGTAGGGGCAAGTTTAAAGGGGGAGCATGCAGGGCCACCCCCACCCTTCTTACCAATTAGGAATTGGGTATGATGTGAGGCATTTGTGTCATTTGCCTAACTGTAAGCCCTCTTAAGTCTTAACTAGTGCACTGATCCTTCAAACTCCTGAAATGTACTATTGTCCTAGTACCTACTTCGTTAACTTAATCCTTTTTCTAATTTTCGCATTAAAATTGTCCTACTTCAATTCCAGCTTTATAAAATTATACATCATTTCTTTCAATAAGCAAAAGTAATCAAAATGAAAAACATGAATTTATTCAATAATGGAAACACAACCAAAATGATACTTATATAAACTTTACAAATACAAAATCCGACTCCCTTGCAGAGTTGCACTTCATTTGGGAGAAAGGAAATTGACTTTATGATTTTCCACAGTTTGATCTCCCCCCTCCACCCTCCACTGTTTTTGTTTTTGTTTTTGGTGGTGTTTAATAGTGATATCCCAAAAAGGGAAGAAAAAAAATAGTTTTAAGGGAGTAAAACAGCATGCGTTGGTGCCCCACCAAAAAAGTAAATAAAATAAAGGCCTTACAATGAAGAGTTTCTTCTCTTCCCCACCAATATAAAATAAAAAAAATAAAATAAATGTCACTTGGTAAGTTGATTTATGTCACTTGCTGGTGAAAACTTCTGTTGCAATGCTTAGGTTCTGGTCCATGTATGGTTTTCCTGTAGTTAATGTGGGAAATCAATGTGTCCTTTTTTGGATCTTTTGCATATGTGTAATTTATGTCACTTGCTGGTGGTGATATTTTAGGTGATAAATATATGTGAATGAGTTTGTACTATTATGTATCCTATTGGATTTGGTAGGGTTGGAATTGGATGGGAATCTAGCCCTAATGATTTTAAACCCCAAAATTGATGTGTGAATATTATGGAACTACGAATTTAGAGCTTTTCAACTAGAGCTGAACTAGCAGTGAAATGCAAATTAAGAGGAAAAAAACGAGGCAGTAATAAGAGAATATGGATTTCTTTTTGTTGGCATTATATGAAACCCATTGATTTGAATAGTTCTTCACTTGCGATTGAGTGTTGGATGATTAATTCACCCTGCACTTTCTGGTCTCGGTTCAAATTTCTTCACCTTCCTTTTTGGCATCTGATTTGCCACTCCATTGTTTAATTCTGTCTCCAGCTATAGAAGCCTGCAATTGCAACAGTTTTAAAAGTGTTACTTTAGTTTAGATTATTGAAGTAATATCATCCAGTTGTTTGGATATATGGTTATGGTGACTAGCTTGTGTAAACTATATATGAAGTTTGCTTTTATGTACTTGCCTCTTTATTCCAGTTTGTTCTATAAATCATCCAGAACAAGAAGCAGGTCTGTAGGATTGTTCCTGACAGCATTCCATACCATATCCCCTGAAAAATGATCAACAATAAACAGTTAATTGGAAGCATTTTGATTAATATGTAGCATTAGCATTTTGAAATTTGGAGTTTAGCACGGTATTACTTGTACCTTGACACCCATGCCAAACTTGTACCCGGTTAGGAGACCCAAAGGAATACCGAATAGATAGTAGCATCCAATGTTCAGATATGCAACAATGGCTTGCCATCCTGCCCCTATTGCCACTCCTGTAACAATATGTTTGCTTATAAGTCTGTTGCCTATATCCCCAAAAATGCAGTATGAAGAAGATTACTTGAGATATTTAGAGAATCGAAGTATAGTTCTGCTATTTGCAGAAACAGCTACAGATGAAACACCGATAAATACCAGAAAGAGCAGGCTGAATATTGTTAATGACAATGCTGGCTCCTAGAAATGGCGTGAGCTCGAATACAAGTTGTTTTACTTCTGCATTATTTGAAAACAAATCTGGGTACTGCTTTTGGTTGATGATGAGAATGAGCGCGAGCAAGAGACCAAACAGAACCGCGGTTACTGAGACCACCACCACAGAGAATTTCGCTGTTCTTGGATGTGCCGCCCCTAGTTCATTCGACACTCTCACACTGCATATTTTAATCAAATTTCACATTTTTTCTGTTGTTTTCTTAGTTATAGAATTTATAAGATTGAAGGAGGTTTGTTTTTGCTACACAACCTTGAGGCTGCATTGAATCCAAAAGCTACCATGATTGTCCATCCCAGTATGTTCATGCTGCAAATTCAGCAAAGCATAAAAACATAAGCAATGTTATTGTGAAGCTTGTACTAGTTTCTGCTATAACCAACCTAGATTGTGTGTATATATATATCATGTGTATATCTGCTCACCATATGGATAAGGCGTCCACAGAAACTTCTGCATTCTTTAGATATCCGGCGAAGAGAATAAGTGCCATAAAATACCAATATTCTAGGCTGCAAAATTTTGAAAGCAGCAGTTAATTAAAAAATAGGTCAACATATCTAACCCAAAGTGTTTGGTGATTATAATAAGTTATCTTTAAAAATTACTACACAACCATGTGATACCATCCATGTAGGGTGCAGAAAGGCATCAACTATGCCCCATGAAATTTATTGGATAGACCTTAAAATGGACCCAAACCTTTTTCTGTTCCATTTTTTATTTTTATTTTATTTTTATTTTTTTATTTCTTTTGTGTGTGTGTGTAATATGACGTGCATATCCAATACTTTAGATTCGGAATCGAATGCTCCTCCCTTCTTCTTTGAGAATAGAAAAGATACACGGCCAAGCTAAATGCTCTTGGTAATGGGTGAGCACTTGATCTCATTATTGTCTTTAAATAATGGATGTTGGTGTTGCATATGTTTGGAGAAATAGTTGAAAACATGTTGGCCACATCTATTTGTTTCTAAATTTGTTCCACAAGAGAGCAGGTATATCCTAACACCTAACCAAACCCTATCATCCTAATAAAAAAATAAATAAATAAATTGTACATTTTGTTATGTTTGGTCGTACCGAATTGATTTTTGAATTTGAGATTGAAAAAAATTTAATACAAATTTTAAATTAAACTTCTACCGATCCCAAACCCAAAACTCCAATTCATGCTCCAAACAATTGGTTTAGGGTTCAGGAGTCTCACCATAGCATTACAGCAGATGCAAGGGACAACCTAACAAATCCCCAGAGGTTCTGAAAGGCCTTCCATGAAAACCCACTCCAAGCTCCACCACACGACCCACTGAACACATACAGCAGCTGAGCCGCCACTATGAACCACCACGACGCGTTCAGCACCACCGCTGCTCCTGCCAGCCCCCACCCCAGCTTCAGCATCAGTAACCAGCTGAAGAAGCAGTGCAGAACCAGTGCCACCGCGGATATCACCGCCATCACCATGAACTTGCTCTGCGCCTGCAAGAACTTGGCGAGCGGAAAGATCATCGCGTATGCAAAGAGCTGTGGAATCATCCACACCGCGAATGTCCCCGTTGCATTTGATATCTCGGCTGTCTGGCCGATGAGTATCAAAACCGGAGCTGAGAATATGTATAGAAACATGATCACTAGCGCTGTGGAGGTGAGAATGATCCATGATCTTTGCATGTAGATCCCTAGCATATCGAGCTGCCCAGCTCCGAAAGCTTGTCCACAAAGCGTTTCTAGTGCACTTCCCATCCCCAACTGTTTGAAACAACAACTTTAACGTTAATTATTGTCTATTATAAGTTGTTAGAGAGCGTGTAACTTAATTATTAATGTATTGAATACTATAACAAACATTGTAAAGGGTGTGTTAGATATTGTACCATGATGCCGAAAGAGAATCCGGCAATGACGGAGTTTTCAACGGAGACGGCAGCAAGTTCGATGGTTCCGACATGGCCGGCGAGGACTTGAGTTACGGCGCCGAGAGAGTATTGGCAAATGGATGTGAAGATGGCCGGACCGGCTAGGTACCATAGCTTTTTGGACTCTGTAACAAATTCTCTGATGAAATCTTGAACTCCGTTGATGTCGGCTTCATCAGCGGGGGTGGGTGAAGGGAAAGAAGGTTCTGTTGCTCCCAGACGGCTCTCCGGATGATCTAGGTAATGGTCATCGTCTATGATGGATAGAAGTGGTTGCTTAGCACCATCCATGAGAGAGAGATTTTGTTTGTTAAGTGAGAAAATGAGATGTGTCTGGATAGCTGTTGCTCATTTAAATAATTATTGACGTTACTATAAATAATACACATGCTTAATTTATTTGATGACCAGCTCGAATGTGGGCCTATGGATTTGATTATCTCCACGTTTGTTACTAATTACTACATAGTCCTGATGGAAAATTTTCATTCCATCACACACTTCAATTAATTTTTTTTTTTTTTAAAGTATACATAATAATGTATGTGAGCATTTATCATATTAGTGGTAACACATTGTTGGAATGGGAGTAAATACAATGGCTACTAATAAACACCAGGCAAAACACATTATGACATCTTTGTGGTATAACTTTTATTATTATTTGAGTCAGCTTTGATCATGGTCGGAAAGTAAAGATGTTCTTCATCAATTATTGGTACCATGTCTTGTCTACTTTCCCGATTTAACTATGTCTTTGGAAGATGTTTCTTCAGATTATATATATAGGCCGGTATTGCATGTGCTTCACCAGTTAAGTACACGTACAAAAGTCATACGTATAGAAAAATTATTATAGTGCTCTGGACTCATTAGTAGTTAACAGGTAAGTACACGTACGGGGTCAATTTTATTTAACTTTTTATTTGTATGTCAATTAATTAATAATTCATCAAAACCGAAAAATGCACATGAATTGACCAGCCATTTCGCTATTTCCCACGTTATATCATTTCTTTTCTTTTACTGTTGAGAGCGAGCACCAAACCTAAACCATTAAAAAAAAAAAAGTTTTTCACGAAGTGCTTTACACCTTGTTAAAGGATTGCATCTATTAACAGCTCTCAGTGTGCGTCGTAAATTGTTTTTAACGGTGTGATGGGTCAGTTTTAACATTAACTACACATGGTGCACATGTCCATTGTTAAAAGGTTATGTTGTTAAAATTGATTTCCCTTGTCCTTTTAATTTATGTCATTTGCTGGTGGTGATTCAAATTAAATAGCTTAACTTGGTTAAAAAAATGAGTTACTATTGTGATATATATTTTTTTGATAATCGGATGTTCGGGATTAGAATTATCTGACTAATCCACTGGATTCGTGCAAGGCGTCCACACAGATCAAGTAAAGCTCGAACATATCTGCGTGTATGGCTCCTAAGAAATTATAATTTGTACTTAGAGGAATTGATCATGAGACCTGATACTTCATAAGGCACTAAAGTCCAAATCTTTTCGAATTAGGCCAATCCCTTGGATTGTGATTCATTGATATTACATTTGTCGTACTTGACTATTTCATACCCCAAAATTGATTTGTGGAAACTATGAATTTAGAGCTTTCCAACTAGAGTTGAACTACCAGTGAAATGCAAATGAAGAGGAAAAAAAAAAAAAAATGAGGCAGTATTAATTAAGAGAATTTTGATTTCTTTATGATGGCATAACATGAATCCCATTGATTTGAATAGTTCTTCTCTGCGCACTTTCTCAAATTTCTTCAACGTTTTGAGAATCTGATTCACCTCTCCATTGTTTAATTCTGTCTCCAGCTATAGAAGCCTGCATTTGGCAACAGTTTAAAAGTGTTACTTTAGTAAATAAATCATTGCATTTCACAATTAGCGTTAATCATAGTTTATTGAAATAATTAATCTCATCAGTTGTTTGGATATGCTTCTTCTGTCCCACTTTAAATGTTTGGATATACTCCCTCTATCCCAGTTGTGAGTCACGGTTCCGAAACCGACATTTAAAGTGGGACAGAGGTAGTATATGGTTATGGTGACTAGCTTGTGTAAACTACCATATATGAAGTTTGCTTTTATGTACTTGCCTCTTTATTCCAGTTTGTTCTATAAATCATCCCGAACAAGAAGCAGGTCTGTAGGACTGTACCTGACAGCATCCCATACCATATCCCCTGAAAATTATCAACCATAAACAATTTATAGGAAGCATTTTGAAATCCGGAGTTTAGGCCCCAGTGCCCTGTGAAGTATCAGGTTTTAGGATAGATTCCCGGTTATTGAAAAAAAAAAAATATCTGGAGTTTAGCAGTGTATGACTTATACCTTGACACCCATGCCGAACTTGTATCCAGTTAAAAGACCTAAAGGAATACCGAATAGATAGTAGCAGCCAATGTTCACATACGCAACAATGGCTTGCCATCCTGCCCCTATTGCCACTCCTGCAACAATACTTTCACTTTAGACACTCCGATAATCGAAAAATGGTTCAGCTATTTGGACAAGCCACTACAAATGAAACCCTAATAAATACCAGAAAGAGCAGGCTGAATATTGTTGATGACAATGCTGGCTGCTAGCAATTGCGTGAGCTCGAATACAAGTTGTTTTACTTCTGCATTATTTGAAAATAAAGCTGGGTACCGGTTTTTGTTGATGATGAGAATGAGCGCGAGCAAGAGACCAAATAGAATTGCGGTTACTGAGACCACCACTATGGTGAATTTTGCGGTTCTTGGATGTGCTACCCCTAGTTCATTTGACACTCTCACACTGCATGAAGTACATTACATTCAATCAAATTTCACATTTCTTTTGTTATTTTCTTAGTTATAAAAAGTTAAGATTGAAGGAGGTTTGATTTTGCTACACAACCTTGTGGCTGCATTGAATCCAAAAGCTACCATGATTGTCCATCCCAATATGTTCATGCTGTAAATTCAGCATTGCATAAAACTTTAGATTGTGTGTGTGTGAGTGTGTATATATATATATATGTATGTATGTATATCTGCTCACCATATGGATAAGGCATCCACAGAAACTTCTGCATTCTTTAGATATCTGGCAAAGAGAATCAGTGCTATAAAATACCAAAATTCTAAGCTGCAAAATTTTGAAAGCAGTTAATTAAAAATAGGTCTACATATCTATATATAACCCAAAGTGTTACGTGATTATAATAAGTTATCTTAAAAAATTATTACACAACCATGTGATACCATACATGTAGGGTACAGAAAACATCTATTATATTATTGAAGATGCAAGATATCGTGATCTGTATTAGGAAACTATTCTCTTACACTTCACACAATCTCCTTTTTTCATTTCTCTAACTTTTATTTATAGAAGTATACATTTGCCCTAGGAACACTCCCAAAACTCTCAAACCTGGGCCTACCTTTATTGGATCTTATCTTTGGGCCGCAGTGAATGGAAGGCCCCTTTTTGATGCTGAGGGGATTGGGCTTGGAGGCAGCCCAATGATGCTCTGGACTGAGTGGACCGGCCCAAAGATGGCCCAATCCACTTTCTGGTCTTTCAATTATGCCCCCATGAAATTTATTAGATAGACCTTAAAATGGACCCAATTCTTTTTCTAAGAGAATAAGTGCCATAAAATACCAAAATTCTAAGCTTCAAAATTTTGAAATAAATGTATTAAAAAAGGTAAAGTGTAAAAAAATCTCTTGAACTATTGTCTTTTTGCAAATAACTCCCATGAACTACAAAATGCCTCTTGAACTATTAATTTGTTGTAATTAAAGACAAACTCATCACAAAAGACTATTTTATCCTTTCTTATTAAATTTGTCATTCTTTAATAAACTATTTTTATTATAATTTCTCTTATCTAAATATTAATTATACCAATTACCTTAATTTTATTGTTAGTATCAAATTTATCATAAAAATGAAAAAAAAAAAGATTTTAATTACCATTTTCTAAAATGATTAACTTATTATTAAAATTGTACTATTTATAATAAAACTTATTATACTCAATTTAAACTTTTTTAACTTAAAAATAAATATTTTCTTTTTCATACAATATATTTAAAAAATGAAAATTAATTAGTTAAATAAAAAATATCTTTTTTCATGCAATATATTCATGAAAAATTAAGAAATTACTTAAATTTTTTTACAATTTTCTACTTAAGATTTTTATTTAAATGATTAATTAAAAAATTAAAAGTAAATTTATTCAAATTTTATGAAGGATATGTCATTAAATTAGTATAAATATTTTTCTTAGTTTATTTCAATAAGAAAAATTTATAAGTGCAATTGAATAAAAAAAAGCTATTATAGTCATTTAATTAAAAAAAATTTAAATATTTTATAACAAAATGTGATAATTTAAAAAATTTTATGTAGATAATATAAAATAAAAGAGTTACTATTTTAGGACGGTTTCTACCTTTACCCTATTAAAAATCTAAGCAAGGCATAATAAATGAGTGGGAGCGCATTTATTAAATTCATTGTCACGGTGTCTGCTGCATGGATTAGAAATCATTACAAAACCACATAGCTGCAGGTACACAGCCACGTGAAACAACTTTATGTGAAGTGCCATACCCCCATGAATTTTTTTTGATTAGACTCTAAAATGGACCCAGACATTATATATATATATACATATATATATATATATATATATATATATATACTCCATTTAAGAGTCTAATCAAATAAATAAATATATATATATATATATATATTTTCCGAAACAATGCTTTAGGAAAGTTTTGAACCAGCTAGGCTATAGTTTTTTCTAAAACTTTATTTTGATAATGTGATCAGGGAATGTAACATGTTTAATCCCTATGCTGTCTCGGGATTTTTAATTTTTTGAATTTATTGAATAGGATATTAGGTTGTTAGGTCTGAATAATATTATTCTAAAAGTTAATCGTGTTACACATTCAGAGTAATTATATTATGTGAGCCAAAAAGTCAACCGAATAAGAGCACCTCAATTGTTGATGTTGATGGGAAGCCTTTAGCCCTTAGGATGTTAGATAATTTCAATTTTTTATTTT